ATTCCGGGGGGGGGGGGGGGGGGAGTTTAGGCTTAAGGTGGGGCAGCAGGATGGCTGGTCTGTCTCCCTTCTGGAAATGTGGCTAGTCAAGGTTAGTACACTGAATCAGATGGATCATTTGCCAGTTTTCTCTGTCTGGTACCTATAGCTGCAGACTCAGGAGAACATCTGTTGTGTTCTTAAGTTATTGTAGGGGGTCTGCAAGGGCCTGTCACTTTCTTTGTCTGAAAGAAACGTGCCATGATGTTGCACCATCAGCATAGTTCCAGAAAGGCATTTTCAAGGTCTCCTCTTTGGCCATCTGAGATGAAACATCAAAAGGAAAACTCATCTTGATCTTGGCTATCTCTCTGTATCACTAAGACATTGGGTGGCTGTCAGATATGAAGATTTTTGGGGGTTCCAGAGTTGAATTTGGCCCCTGGAGGTATATGATCTGGATTCAGCTGCAGCTGTTGCTAGCCATTATTGGGTTTGCACTTCATTCTGGGAAAGTGTGTTAAATATTTAAATGATTTAATTTGAACGGAATAACTGTGCAGATATCTCTGACAGCAATGTGAGATGTAGCGTGTATTGTACAAGGCTGCTTTTCTTGCTTCTCTACTAGACTAATTTCCACTTTGAAAAAACCTGTCATCATGTAACCCAGCTAATCCTCAGGAACAAAGAATGTCTATGGAGAGACAGTAGTTTAACTTACTTGCCTCAGCACACGCACATCTACATGGGTGACTTCATCTAAGACACATGGACTGGGTAAAAATCTGATAGAGGCAGGATGTAGAGCAGTTGATGTCTGCAGTCAGGTAATTAGCTGAACATACAAACCTTCCCGTTCTCTTCAGCTTTATTTATCTGAATAGCATGTCACAGTATGAAATCAGCTGTGTAGAGGGTGGTACCAATTATTTGTTATACTAGAATTTCAATAGCAAATAACAATTTGAATATGCAGTGTAAATAGTAATAGTTTAGTAATCATAGTAATAATTAAAAAATAATTTTGCAAGGAAACCTAGGGAAGCCAAGCTTGATCACCACTTTCTTTGCACTGCTACTTAGTATACATCCATCCTTTAAGAATGTTTTGCTGGTTTATTATGATGCCAGCAAGAAACTCGGACTCTGTAGAGTATTGCTTAAAATAC